TGAAATGAGGAGAATTAGAGAGAAAAATACCTGTAAAATAATGAACACAACCCGATTTGGAAAAGCCAATACACACGGAGAATGCACAACGAGGAAAGAAAAAACTGAGAAAAAAAACTGGTCGCATTTGTTTTCAAGATTTAACTTGGAAATAAAGGAAAAAGAAACTGTCCCCTTTGTCATATGTCAGCCATGCGTACATTTTTATTACTTTTTAAACGATTTATTGACGTAAGGAACATATTATTTAAACATTTTGAGAAAGGAACCCCAAAACATCACGTGATTGGCGAAACCTAAAACATAAATTAAGTGAAGCAAGGTGAGCTGTAAAAACTTGAAAAAACTCCTCAGTTCTGAAGACATCTGAAGAGTCACATAATTCATTAGCGTTATGTTAAATGGAAAGAAAATTTAAAAAAAGTAGCTAATAGTCAAGAATAGTGAGCATTTGGCAAATTGTTCTGGGAGTCACGTCCGGTACTCATCTAGTCTCTTGAAAATCCACTCCTGGTTGCTATGGTGATCCTAGTTTGTAGTCAGAAGTTGTAAGAGGGTCTTTACGTGCTACGCCTTCTTCTTATTTTTTCAGTTGTTCGTTGAACATTTGATTTCTTTACTCTCCTAGCAGCTATAAGATCTTCTTGTACACCCCTTTCCTCATTATATCCTAGATATGCAAAGTAGTGACTTTGACCTGGAGCCATGCAATATTAGCATAATAATAAACTGAATCATAAATTGTGTTCCCACCTTTATCAACTTGTTTTCGATTATAAAACACTAGTTATTATAGATCAGTTATGATTGACGGTATAAATAATTGATCTTGGCGACTAAACATTACTGAGAAAAGGCAAAATTAGTTTGAATCTCAACTGGATTTCCACTCAACCTACATTTTGTGTTTTTATTGCTTATTCCACCTGAGTATACAACGCCTAAAAAAATGGCGTGAACTTAAGTCGTACCTCATTACATTTTAGTATTTGTTTTCTAGGTGTGAGAGCTATAACTTCAATCAGAATCGACAGTCAATGAGGACTTTGCACCAGCCGATAGCAGAAAAAACCCATCGCTTACATTAGTTTTTGTTACCAGCCTAGCGGTTTTTTCAAAGCTAAAGCTAATTAATGAAGGAGCGTTATTAATTATTATTTAAAACATTAACCTGCATGCGCAAGGCAGAAAATAGACTTGAAGCAAGGGTGTTTGTTTATATCGCATGACAAAGCTTAAAGAAGCATATAACAGCTTGTGGCCAGCTGGTATCCAGAATTGTCTTTGGAAAAATGCATATAGCTATGGAAACCGCAGAAGCACCGGGCGGATTGCTATTTCAGCTACTTATAAATTCCGAGCGGTTTCGATGGGTAGACTTACAGCTGCGACTGAACTGAAACTGAAAAACAAACCAAAAAGAAAACGCTAAACACATCTGATTTATAAGTTAATCATGGTTGCACGGTTCTGCGCTCAGAAGGTTGAAGAATACGAAACACTTCTACAACATCAGGCAACTCTGATGTTAATCCTGTGTGCGCTGAACCTAATTTTTTCCATTGTGGCAATCCTTGGAAATCTCCTTGTCATTCGGGCCTTGTGGAAAACCTTGTCAATACCCGCTACTTTAAAGACGTTGTTCCTAAGCCTTGCGGTTTCCGATCTCGCAATGGGATTATTTGCGCAACCAATGTTTGGTGTAGTGATTGCAGTGATGTTAAAGATGACGGTTAGTGGAGACTACAACTCCTCCATGTTTTGTCCATCTGTGGTCACCATATGTCATTTTTCTTTATTTTTTCTGGCTTGTGCATCGCTATTGCACGTGACTTTCATCGCTTTCGACAGACTTCTTACAATTTTTCTGCATCTCCGTTATCAAGAGCTTGTGACTCCAAACCGTGTTAACATAGCCTTAGCATGTTTGTGGTTGACAAGTGGTGCTGCAGCTTCGATGTACATATCACTTCCCAATAACAACGACAGGGTATCGGAGGTGCTTGAATTGGTTGGCCTTCTCGTCACAACTGTGGCTTATTTTCGCATTTATAAAACTGTGAGACATCACCAGAATCAAATTCAAAGTCAAAATCAAGCGTTAAATGCTCAAGCAATGGACGCCCTCCGAGAAAGAAAGTCGGCCATCAATGCTTTGATTGTTTATGTTGTGTTTCTAGCTTGTTATGTTCCATATTTATGCTGTACGATTTTGTTAATGGTGGATAAACTTCGGGTATCTTTTTTGGCAGGTTATCAAATTTCCTTATTGTTGCTTCTTCTCAACTCCTCAATAAACCCTCTAGTTTACTGCTGGCGATATCGCGAGATTCGTCATATTTCCAAAAAAATCGTAAAGGATATACTTCGCATT